ATCAATTGTTATGTGACGTCAATACAAACTACATGAAGAAAGCTTTGCTTTCTTAAATATTTATGTGGTTTCTAAACTCACAGTATACAATTTATCAGTTTTGTTAGTAGTCTATGGTAAATTCTGTAAGACACATATATCGTAAAATTATAATCAATTTGAATTATTATAATCTTGAAATTTACGATTTACCCAAAGATTTTAAGACTTGGTATTTATACACGTTTATAAAACGGGATTTGGTCCACTGAACGTGTTTAATGCCATTTTAAAATTGCATTCACTCCCACAACCGTCGCCCGGCTTGACACAAATCTACCGAAATCAATTACACAGAGTAATTAATTGTGGTTCAGGCTACCATTCTACTCATGTGATCCACAAACAACTGTGCCCTTAAAATAAAGTTGAGTTGTTGTTAGTTAAATTTTCATAATCTTCTGTTATAAAAGAAACATATGTTTATGGTACAGTATAGGATAAAATCGAAATAAAGATCATGTTTTGTATGACATTTTTAAAACTAAATAAAATATTTCCAAATCCATGTTTATGGCCCCTGGAATATTTTCAAGAGAAGAGAATAATCCCCCAAATAGTCCAACGACTAAAATTTACTCACTAGCTTACATGCTTCATTAAATGTACATTAAAATGTATTTAGTATAATTAGCGAATTTTCCTACAGGGAAGTAGCTATTACCGTAGGTGGCACGGTAAGACGTAATCCCAGGACCGATATGCTTTTTCATTTTCATTAAATTTATCTTAAACCTTTTTTAAAGGGCTTAAAAACACACAATTTAGTACATATAAGTGTTTTTTACAGTTATTGGTTACGGAGAATAAAAATTGTCAATTAAAAATTCCCATGTTATTCTTATGGAGAAAAAGTAAACTCTTGTAGTTTCCTTGTTTATTAATAAATATATTGATCAAACTTGGCAAATTTATTTATTTTATACTAATCTATTTATATTTGATTTAAAAAATCTTTATTAATCTACCTGTAGCAACAAACATGGGTTTCAAATACAAAACACAAAGCCATAGGTCTGAAGTTGATGTATGAAACTAAACAATACAGGTATTTGCAGAGTATTAAAAAAATGTTATTAAATACAAAAACTTGTATCGATCTATTGTATTTTGGAATATAAATTGAGAAACTCGATAATATTAATCTGATATTGCTGTAAGATGTATTGAAGTTAGCCTTTTTGGATTGTCCAATACAGTTAATACATTTGTTGAAAAGTTTGGTACCTAAGGGAAAAAGAGCTTGAGATACAGAGCTAAGAATAGCTTTTAAAACTGTGATAAGGAATTATTTAGACAAATCTCATCTTTATTTAACTTTGGTAAAGTTTTAGGACTGCTTAAAGCTTATTGCGTTCAGTAAAAGTACCAAAGTGTAATCTTGACTTAATTCCTCTTACCTTAACAGTATTTAATCAGCAGTTACTTGAATTTAAAAACATATTTTAATTTTTAAATTTTATACACACAACCATTATAAACCTATACTCCAATAACGCTATGATTACGAATGTAGGGAGTAAAATAAATCACTGTACAATGAAGTTTTATGCAACATTATTTATTAATGTAAAAAAATACACACTTTAACTCATGTGTTTCCAAATCTTGTAAAAATACATAAGTGAATATTATTTGCAAACACAAATATTCCCTAACTAAACTTATTCATAGGTAATTTGTGAATAAAAATAACCTAAATCGTATCATAAGAAATCACAGTTATTGTCTCTAAAAATAGATCAAAACAAAGATTTCAGTGCATAGGAGGTTTTGGGAATCTGTGCATCACTCATTACTGGTCTGATTCGTACGGAAGTAAATAAAACTACGTCTAATAAAACATATTTTCACCTACAAAGATCCTCTCAATATGGTAAATACAGATAACAAATGGTAATTGGTTAAGAGTAACACTTACCATATGTTATTTAACTTTGCCATCTTGTACATGTTTGAGTGTTAATAGATAAATTTGTATTTACTTTGGTTACCTCCCGCTATCTCCGCGTCCCGCCATCTCCGTGTACCGATATCTCCGAATTTCAGAGTGACCCCTACAATCCTTGGTTACTTCCTGCGATAAGACTTTCCGTTCAAACCTAACCTAACCTAACTTAACTTAACTTAACTTAACTTAACTTAACCTAACCTAACCTAACCTGACCTAACCTAACCTAACCCACGGGTTAAATTTTCATCAAATCTTCCTTCCACGGGGCTTCGCAGCCGTGGATGCAATGACAGCTAACAACGCAGGCAGTGACTGGATTTAATAAGGGTCACTCAAGAATTCGGAGATGGCGGGACAGATTTGGGTTCGGAGATAGCGGAACGCGGAGATAGTGGGAGCACACGTTTACTTTTTGTTAATTTAATTACATATATTATGCTTTAGGAAGCTATTTGGATGAAAGTTCGTTATCAATATCAGAACTCTAACAAGTAACATTAATTAAATACTGACTAGTGTATAGTTAACAGATTAAAAAAGCTAATGTGACATTAACCATTGTACGTAATTCTATTTAATCATAATCTAGGTACGAACAAGCCATGGACATATAAGGGGCCACCCTCGCCTTCAACTCACGTTCAATCATAGGCTTCAACTCCGGGGTGAACTTGTTCACCACCATGTTGGCCAGCTTGTTGACGAACTTCTCATTGACCAAATCGATCCCGGTGATGGCCAGGTCGATACCCTCAAACTCCGTCACCTCCAGGACATCCACGGACGCAGCACAGTCATCGTCTAAGGTCAAGGTCACCTGGGCAGTCAGCAAGTTGCTGGCGACTGACGCTCTGAACCCTCCGCTGATTGACAGTATTCTGACTGACGCGTCGAAGTTGCTGTAGGCCACCTCCAGCTGGTCCAACGTCACTTGCACAAACACCGTGAGAGTGTCCGAGGTTGTTGAGACGGTCAAGTTTACGAACCTCAATGTGGAAAAGTTCCCGATGGATCCTCCAGTAGCTTTGATTTTCCCATTGAGTAAACTTCCTCCAAAAGTCTCCGTGAAGTCGTCGACATCTATGTAGCTTCCTTCTTTCTCCAGAAGTTCTGACGCGACTCCTCTTACGAGGTCTCCGACGACGTCGTTCCAATAAGAGTCGTCTTGAGTGTCCCTCTTGATTCTGAAACAGAAGCCGCTGGTGAAGACTGTGAGGAGGATAAACAAAAACGCGTTCATTCTGAACCAACTCACTGAAGACACAATGTCTTATCTTTTACACTCCGCTTATTTATAAGACGAGGATTTTTGTGCAAATATGATTGAAATACGGTTCTTGTTTTCGCACTGTTTTCTAGAATGTGGAAAATTTCTGTGAATCACAGATTTGCGTCACTTATCTCAGGTAATGTTAAGTCGAGTGAGTAATAGAATACATTTTGGTAAGGGGAAAATAGGATTATAGTGATTTACTAACATAGAAATATGACCTTGCTTAGTAAAAATGTTTAATTTACTCTAAAAAATTAATGGAATTGTCTTGCAAAATTAGTTATCAATTACGATGACTAAGCCTGCAACCGTAAGTGGAACAGTAAGTATTTAAGAGTATACACAGAAGTGAGAGTGTAGCCTATTATCATAAATATAGGCGTGTCAAACCAGAAGTATAATTTATATTTAGTACGATTTATGGGACAGACATTTTTTAGCATTTCCTTTAGTTATGACAAAACAGTATAACTGGCACATTGCTCATGCAATATTCTATTTTTTTATAGTTTCGTTTTGCATTTATTTAAGCTTTACGCTTATTTTAATTATTTGCGTTCCAAACTTTGAGTTTAAAATAACTAAAAACGAAATAAAGATACATCAGTATTGTTCTAATTAAATTTTCAGTACTTTAATATTAAGCTCTGTATATTTTTCTATTAATGTTAATATTACGAAATATACTTTAAAAATGTAATTTCTGGATAACCTGGATTTTTGTTTTGGATTTTAAGAGAAGGTATAGTTTATTGTGAATTGATATTTACATAGTAGTGTTTAAATATTTATTTATTGAAGTTGGAATCATTACAATTTTACTTCTTCTCTCTCAATCCTTGAACCTCATTGGTCCGTTATCCTTATTGTTATGAGTAAAACTATGCTGTTATGAATGTAAACGATGCTGTTATGTGAAACTTTTCAATTCTAAGAACTTAACTGAAACGGCTACTTTAAAGAATGGTTGTAGGTAAAAACAATTAATTGGTAATTAAAAATCCACTATTTCCATAAAATAACTTACTACAGTATTTTGCCACAAGCACAAATACAATTTAATTTAATTTGAAACACAACTTTAAACCAGGGAAGAGCTGATTATATTATCTATTGCGTAAATATTTGAGCAAAAATAAGTACAATAATAAATGTTATCTACTGAATGGTGGACATGTAAATAGTTACTGTAGTTATACTAGATATTTAGATAGCCTACTACATGCTTTATAAAAAATGAGTTTATTTGATATACTATAGGAAAACCATTATTACCCATTAAAATGTAAGTGTATTAATTTTGGACCAAAGAGGTCAATAAGAATAAACTTCCGGAACTCCAAAAACTGTTTTACATCCATATATTTAGGACATGCCTGTCCGTTAGATAGTTTTTGTATTGCTCATTAATCAAAAAGACACCACTTAATCATAGAATAATAGAGTAAAATGAGTAAACGTAAAGGATTTCAATTCAATATATTTTGAGATATGAAATAAACCTCTTGCCTCACTGTTTTCAGTGAAAATCTAAATGCAATTCGATTAGTATAATTATGGTATAATATTGTTCAGTGTTTCTAAGCTTATGCAAATCAGAACACTTAAGACATTTACAGCTAGACTTAAATCTTTTGCAAAAATTATCTTGTTATTACCCCACAGCTACTGTTATCAACATCCAAATAAAGATGTGATATGATTTCACACGAAAACAACACATTACTTTACTCACAATGTTAGCAGTAGTACTAATTCTATCAGCGGTCTTTGGTTGTTCGGGCCATTCTCTTTCAAAGCGGGAGACATTGATTAACAGCCAAATTGACGAACTCATAGAGGACTTCAGTGCGCTCGTCGAGTCAGGCGGGGTCCAAAAAATTCCTATTGACGACTTTTCCACAACATTCGAGAAGAAAGTTAGATTCGTCAAGCTCAAAGGTAATTTTGAGGCGAGCAATGGATATGTGCAGGATTTGTCGACGATTCAGAGGACAGGGGATGCTACAGTGTCAGCGACCCCTACTACAGTCACTGTGACTCTTCACCTAGGTCTGCAAAACCTCCAGGTACACTACGAGAACTACAAGGCCACCTTTAACAAGATCAGCGTGTCTGGAGATATGACCTTGGATGTGGCGAAGAACTCAGTCTTCGTCCAGATGACTTTCATCTTCGAGGACGAAGAATCTTGCAGTACTGTTCTAGACAATGCTTACATAGAAGAATTGGATGGGATAACAGTGACAGTGTCCAACCTGGGTCCACTTAAGTGGACGTACGAGAAGATAGCGGAATGGGTCATCAGGAAGTTCAAGGATGAAATGACGGGGAAAATTGAAACTAGTGTGAAGGACAGTTTTATGAAACGTCGGAAAAACTCGTTGTGTGAGCTAGTAAGGTACCTTTAGGTTTCTTTAGTAAGTAGTAGTTTTGTGGTGGTATTATTGTTTTTTATAATCTGCCTTTTAATAATAAGATTCCGGTATAAATTTGCGGTAATTTTGTACTACAAATATCGTTTGAGCCTTTATAATCATAAAACTAAAAACCAATTATGTATTTGACTAATTTATAGGGTATTAAGTACGTAGCAAGGTTAATAAGTGCGAGTTCACAATAGGGGATTTTTAGATTTTAAATTAATTTATACCTTTAGACATCCTTTTATTAATTTCGTACAGTTGGTAAGCTTTTAGTTTCAAAAATAAGATTCATTGTGTACCGTAACTTAATTAACCAGTGTCATTCTACGCTTTGTTAATTCAATGTTTTTTTTTTGTTAGTTTAATAACTAAAATAAAATATTTTTGAATGAGCTAATCTGGTTTTAAATTAAGTCTTTTCATCCTTTCATTGGGTTATTTTTTTATATTCCTTTTGATGAGGTCACTGTACATAATCATCGTATTTACAAATAGATAGACACATGTAGATTACTGTACGGTAGTTCAACAAGTTGAAATGGTTTTGTTTATGCTGAAAACCCCATGGAACTAATATAATTAAAAGTTATGGCTAAACATCAGACCACAAAAACAATTTGAAGTGACAAGACTGGTAATTAATTAATTTTAATTAATTATTGTACTACATGAATAATAATGAGTGAGGAGGGTTTTGGAAATATAAACTGCACGTTTTATTGACAATTGCATTTGAATATCATATTAATAATAATGGAGAACTTAATCTTCATATAAAAATGTTTAATAAATTACCAAATCTTTTTTAAGTAGTTTATAAATTGTATGAAAAGTGATGAGACTTTATTGGGCTTTTCTGATCAAATATAGCACAACTTGTGTGCTTGCATTGGATATTTAATAGCCCCAACGAGTGAATTCAGATTAATTATAATTTCGTTTCATTATAAAAATTAATAAGAAATTTATTTCTATAAAGTTTATCTACATTGAATACCCAAATTAATATCCTACCAGAAACAGATTCATCCAAATGTATTGTCCATTTGTTTCGGTTTGTCGAGGATTGTTTTGGTCCTCAATTATAAAAATTGTCTACAAATACGATATTTATTTTAGTATTTTTACTAATTTGTGTTGTGATGTTCTGTTTTCGTAATTCATTTAAATTATGTTCTATTGGATTTCTTAACGGTTCTCTTTGTTAACCAGCTTGATCATGTTTTTTTTTATTTAACCATGGCTGTGGTTTTTGCTTTTTAATTTACCGCAATTAAATTGAGATGTTATTTAATGAAATAGTTTAACCAGATTAAAATACCTAACCAACATTCTCCTATTAGTTTAGGAGATTTTGCCCAAAAGTACCATGAGCACACGCTACTATTCAAGGAAGCTACTATTTAAGGAAGATTAGGTACGAAGTTGGTTACCAAGAAAAACTAGTTCAAAAGTTTATTCTCACTAACCAAAAGTTTGATAGTGTTCTTAAACTATAGTAACATAGTATACATAGTAGGTATAGTAATAATATAGGGGGTTGAAATAGCTTAGGGTCGTATTCGATGAGTAAATAATCCAAACAATAGTTTGCAATTCTATGCAGTTGTTGATTCTGCGGAAGCACGTGGCCAACCTCAGTTCAGACTACATAATAAACCATCTATATACTAAACAAAACTAATTACATCTTTAATGAAGCTTTTCGTGGAATCGTATTATTTCCTCAAAGGTGCCACCAGTGTATTAGCCGAACAAGTGCATTGTTCTAACTTTTACAATAGCAAATAAAATACTCCAAACGCTGCATTGTTTTAGTTGGGATGATTATTATCAGCAAGAAAACTACTTTGGCAATGCACTTAGTTGATTGAAGTTCATTGTTGGTGATGGTGAGTTAATGTTGTTCAAAGGTTTATTGCGGACATTTTCCATCACTAAAGTGAAAAACAAAACACAACGTTTCGGGATCTGGAATCTGATCCCGTCTTCAGGTGAAAAAAAAACTTAACTAACACCCTCGGTAGTGTATTCCAACTTAGGTTGGGCGTTTGTGTATTGTTAGTTGTAATGTGTTAGTTAAGTTTTTTTTTTCACCTGAAGACGGGATCAGATTCCAGATCCCGAAACGTTGTGTTTTGTTTTTTACTTTAGTGATGGAAAATGTTCGCAATAAACCTTTGAACAACACTTAGTTGAGTTAAAACCATAGATGGTCATTATAAAGTACCAATAAAGTAATGTACTTTTTACGTTACTCTTTTCAACACAAACTCAAGTTTGAATACTGAAGAATGATGAACGGAGAATAAACAGGAATCGAAAATGAACTTGTGGCTCATGCAATGAAACATACATTTACTTTATTGCACTGAAATTAAAAATACAATTTCTACTAGCTTTTAAATGAAAGATTGATGAGGAAATGAGAATAAAAGCCAGTTATGTGCCTCTTTATGAATCACGTTCCTCTTTTGAAGTGAAGTTAACTCGCTTGGCTGAATCTTTGAGGCAAGATACACAAGAATACAGAGGTAAACTTGTAATACAAATCAAAAGATATATGTTAGAAGAGACAATTAATTACAAAGAGTTACATCACAAACTAATTACCTTATATATTAAACAACAAAATTTTATATACATAATGCATGTTCAATTTTATAAGGTAAAGCTGGATCAAAAGATAGTTGGATAAATATGAGTTTGAATGACATAAAAAAATGTGGAACTAGATTTTTTATAGTTTTAAGCATACTGTTTCTTTGAGTTCCCTAATTGACACAAAAAACATGCTATAGTTTACATATTTTTCTTCCAGTCCACCGTAGTTTTTGTATTTGGAAAAATCTATAATGACTTAACGAAAATGGTACATTTAAGTTTATAATTAAATTAGCTTAAAAGATTGTACATTATAGTGAAAAATATTATATACACACTTTTTCAAAGTACTAAATGTACCTTACCAATTCACATATACTTGAAGAATTCTTCGGTTTTCTGATGAACCTGTTTGCCAAACTAGTTTGAATTTGCTCGGTCAAGTCGTCTCGGAACATCATTATGACCCACTCCACAATCTTCTCGTACGTCCAACCGAGTACACCAAGGTTTGATACTGACACTGTGAACCCATCCAATTCCTCTATGTAAGCATGGTCAACAACAGAGCTGCAGGATTCTTCATCCTCGAAGGTGAAAGTCATCTGGATGAAGACAGAGTTCTTCGCCACATCCAAGGTCACGTCTCCAGACACGCTGATCTTCTCCAGAGTGGCCTTGTAGTTCTCGTAGTGTACCTGGAGGTTTCGCAGACCTAGGTGAAGAGTCACAGTGACTGTAGTAGGGGTCGCTGACACTGTAGCATCCCCTGTCCTCTGGATCGTTGACAAATCCTGCACGTTTCCATTGCTCACCTCAAAAGTACCTTTGAGCTTGACGAATCCAACCTTCTTCTCGAATGTTTTGAAAAAGTTTCTGATAGGAAGACTTTGGACCCCGCCTGACTCGACGAGCGAATTGAAGTCATCTATTAGTTCATCGACTTGTTTGTTGATCAGTATTTCCCTCTTTGAAATTGAATGGCTTAAACAACCAACTGCAGATAAGACAACCACTAGGGCCAACATACCGAGCGGAAATGCCTTGTTTAGTGCGGAAGGTTATCTTGTCTTTGTTTGAATGTTGATAACAGTAGCTGTTTGTTAATAAACAGGTAAGTTTTGCAAAGTTTCTTAGACTAGTTAATTCTTCTGATTTGCGTAAGGAGGGTAACTCTAAAAATAAGTGACATTTTTTAGTTGCATGATATTAAGTGTTTGCCTTTACCCTAATTAAAACTTCAATATTCGTTATGGAAGTACAGTATCATGAATACCACCATTTGGCAAATGTTCTTTATTGGTTTTAGCAAGGGAATAAGGTTTTTTTTTAATAAAGAGAATAAGTATTGCCTCATCGTAAGACCTTGACCTGGAACCGATTTAATTTTTCGTTTTGAGGTCCCCAGGGCTAACAATGCCCTTCGTTCAAATTCATATAAATATATGTGCCGTTAGCGCGATAATCATTAACAAATATGATCATATTTTGATGAAATTGCTACGTTAATTCAAATGAGTTTGCGAACTAGCATGATCGGCCTATGGGACTGGGTTAATGGGGTTTTGTGGAGTAAAAATTGTTTTTTATTTGAAACTAAAAACATAAGATTTTGCAATTCCTTTTCAAACCATTTTGTAGAGCTTAAAAAGGAAAAAAAAGTTTATTGAAGTTTTGTATGCCTAATGGTCACAGAGAAAACTTAAAAAGAAAATTAAGAAAATTTAAAATGCCCATGTTATTTTTATAGAGAATACACTATTGTTGTCTGTTGTTTATGGATATATTGTAATACAATTTGGATAGTTTTTTTATTTCATACTAAGCTATCAGCATTTCAGTTGAAACCACACCTCAATACTTCCCTGTAGCAGGGGACCTAAGTACTCATTAAAATTAATGCTATTTAAATTAGAAATACATCTGACAATTTTAAGGGAATATGTTAATAGAAATCAGCCAGGTAAATGGGAATTCGCTTAGTCTGTGAGTTTGCTGTGGCGGGGGTATTTTGAGTTACTAAAATATAACTTTGGAATTCATATGATTTTGGAGTCAATTAGCAAAATCATTATAAAAACTTTTCCACTTTTCTATTATTATTTGTATGTCTTACCTGGATAATGAGTAGGCCTATATTAATTCCAGCCTTCTATCCATTGGGGAAGTTGGCTTTACTCTTATATGTTGAGACGTATACGATTTTATATGTGTTATGTGTATAAATAAGCTATGAAACTTATATTGTAAAAATGTATCATCATAGTGGTTGTATAATTGGGTTTCAAATAACAGAAAAAAATCCTTTATTTTGTTAAAATCTAATAATAGATGTGATATAACTATAGAATGTTCTTGGAATGCATGCCATAAAACGTGAGATAATATTTTGGTTTGACTATTACAGTATTTACGATCGATATTACAATCACCTGTAACCCTATTTGAAGACCAGCACAACACAGTAGTAGTAGGACGTTCTACTGTTTGAAGACCAGCACAACACAGTAGTAGTAGGACGTTCTACTGTTTGAAGACCAGCACAACACAGTAGTAGTAGGACGTTCTACTGTTTGAAGACCAGCACAACACAGTAGTAGTAGGACGTTCTACTGTTTGAAGACCAGCACAACACAGTAGTAGTAGGACGTTCTACTGTTTGAAGACCAGCACAACACAGTAGTAGTAGGACGTTCTACTGTTTGAAGACCAGCACAACACAGTAGTAGTAGGACGTTCTACTGTTTGAAGACCAGCACAACACAGTAGTAGTAGGACGTTCTACTGTATATATCTTGTATAATCTGGGTATGAATCACCAATTATGATAAACCCATTTGTTGTGGAAAACTGAATTGCGTTGTAACTATATTACTCAGTAACGCAAAGTCTAAGTAGGAAGCTAGTCAATTAATAATTACTGCTAAAGTAAGGTAAGTATTTAATAGGTATTTAAGCAATATTATGTCAATCTGCAAACATAACACACGAAGCCTTTTATGAAATATGCAAAAGTTCATGTCGTACAATGAATGTTTTAGAAAATCTGCGTGGATTATAAGCAATGGAATTACAGATCTTTATGATACTTAGAATTTAGTAGGGCTGATGTATTTTCTGTATTTGAGAAACACCGGTTAACAATAAACAATTAGACAAACAATTGGACAAAGAACGAGTCAATAAGTTTAATAATAATAATTAATAAATAATGTACAATTAAAATCTATAAATGTATGACTGAAAACTCAACTTAAATTTATATTTGATTGCCATAACAAGCTATTTTTCAGTTTATCCTTCCGTACATTTTTATTTGACAATCTTTTCAACAAATAATTATCGGTACCGAACGCAATGTTTTTAATACATATATTTTTTTAACATTCACGTATACTTACTGCAGCTGTTATTCAGATTATGGTCGGAAGTTCATACACCACAAATCGGGATTTTGCAAAACAATTCCATTGTATTAGCAAAAGGTATAAGTGAGAATTAACACACTTTTACCAAGCAAGGTTTACCTTAGTCGGAATTCCTCGTTAATAAATCCCGATAATCCTCTCTCCCAACCTTACCACCATTTACTCTATTACTCACTCGACCTTACACAACCTGAGATAAGTGACGCGAATCTGTTATTCACAGAAATATTCCACATTCTAGAAAACAGTGCGAAAACAAGAATCGTATTTCACTCATATTTGCACAAAAATCCTCGCCTTATAAATAAGCGGAGAGTAAAAGATAAGACATTGTGTCTTCAGTGAGTTACTTCAGAATGAACGCGTTTTTCTTTATCCTCCTCACGGTCTTCACCAGCGGCTTCTGTTTCAGAATCAAGAGGGACACTCAAGATGACTCTTATTGGAACGACGTCGTCGGAGACCTCGTAAGAGGAGTCGCGTCAGAACTTCTGGAGAAAGAAGGAAGCTACATAGATGTCGACGACTTCACAGAGACTTTCGGAGGAAGTTTACTCAATGGGAAAATCAAAGCTACTGGAGGATCCATCGGGAACTTTTCCACCTTGAGGTTCGTAAACTTGACTGTCTCAACAACCTCGGACACTCTCACGGTGTTTGTGCAAGTGACGCTGGACCAGCTGGAGGTGGCCTACAGCAACTTCGACGCGTCAGTCAGAATACTGTCAGTCAGCGGAGGGTTCAGAGCGTCGGTCGCCAGCAACTTGCTGACTGCCCAGGTGACCTTGACCTTGGACGATGACTGTGCTGCGTCAGTGGATGTCCTGGAGGTGACGGAGTTTGGAGGTATTGACCTGGCCATCACCGGGATCGACTTGGTCAATGAGAAGTTCGTCAACAAGTTGGCCAACATGGTGGTGAACAAGTTCACCCCGGAGTTGAAGCCTATGATTGAACGTGAGTTGAAGGCGAGGGTGGCCCCTTATATGTCCATGGCTTGTTCGTACCTAGATTATGATTAAGTAGGATTACGTACAATGGTTAATGTCTCATTAGCTTTATTAATCTGTTAACTATAAACTAGTCAGTATTTAATTAATGTTAGGGCTTTGTCATTAGTTAGGTAACAAACAGTAAATAGATTATTCAGTAAACATCTAATGTTATCTTCCTTTGGAGTTGACAAAAAAATATTAGATAATATACACGATTTTATAAAGTTTCTAAATTTGTATTCGTTTAAATAACTTCTTGATTAGAATAGTACGTGTGTTTAAATTTACAGGAAGTAAATATAAATATGTCTAGTAGATTTTAAAATGTCTATTTACACCACTAGTAATTACGTAAATGACGTTAGTGTTCTAACAGATTTACCATCTGTTATACGTATTTACAATCTTTTAACAGTATAAGTGTAAATATATGTTTAGAGTGTTATTAAATAAAATACTGACCGCTACTGACAATATATTGGTTTACTTACCACGAATGAGAGATGCAGTATGTCAAGACTCTACTTATTATTAAAAAATTTTTTTATTACTCGTATATTCAAGAACTTATTCCTGTTCTTGCTTACAATGAAATGTTAGATATTTAGTGTTTAGAATATACAAACAAACCATTTTTTATAACAGTTAGGACAAATATGTGATTAGAATATATTTATGTACTTTTACGTGTTATACTAAACTGTGCATTATTTTTACATGAATAAACAATGTTATATAACGCTTTTTTGAAATTGTATTTATTTTAATCCCAACATTCATTACCGTACGATATCAAGTATAAACATTGTGTTAAATACTTTATAAATTCCAATATGTTTTTAAATTTTATATGAAGAATGATAAGAGTTAAGCACACCAAGTTTACATTTGGAGCAATCAGTTTTTAGCTGTTCCCAAACTTTACCAAAGTTAAGTAATGAGAGTATTTGTCTAAATTATTCATTTTAACAGTTTTGCAGTTATTCTGAGCTGTTAATGTTTTGTATCTCAGGCTATAAAATCATTACTGTGTTACAGACGGAAGATAGAATCGTCATCATATAAATAAGTCATTTTAAACCTTGTGAATACTAAGTATATCAGTAGGTAGTAATCATAACGTTATCTCAAACAATTGATTTAGTCATAGAATAATGTACTACTTAATTGTTTTAATCTATGTTACTTTTTAAAATGGATGTTCAGATTCACCAGGTAATACAAGTAGAAAGTATTTAACCAAGGAGATTCAAGATAAGATTTTGATTAATTAATATTCTCAGCCTTTAGCCGAGCACTTGACAATATGAAAATCCCATTATCTTACAATTTAATTTGCTAGTTTTGGTTTTTAATGTATCAGTTTTCAAGCAGTTTCGTCTTCGTATAAAATATTTATTAGGTTTGTCTCTAAATATGTCTTTTTTGGAGAGAAATTTAAAAATATATAACCCAATTAGTATTTAATTAAAATAATAGTATTTGCATAGATAAAACACACATTTGCAGCATCGGAAAAACAGTTTTATACTACTAATATTCAGGAATAAATGTAGAGTTATTATACATCGATGGAATAAATATGATGACATTGATTCGGTGCGT